TGCTTCTACAATATCTATTGCCATCATTCTTGAACAAGCAGACAAAGGGATAAATCATTTATTGGTATGAAGCTTGCATATAATCATTGAATAGTTCACAGCTGTTAAGCTTGTTCAGGTAATAATTTCAGTACTAATTCTGATGTTTCAAAGAACATATTAATCCAAAATGTTTTACTGACTTCCAACCGAGATTAAATTATTTAGAAATAATAGCTTCTCTACAAGAGTTCTATCACTTGGTTTATGAGTGGGATTCACTAAAACAATCATGTTTTGTATACACAAATTCTATGATGTCTCTCTAAACTGGGAACAGACAGCATAGCAGAAAAATAGTATTACAGGAACCACAGGAGCACAAGAAGCCAACCGCAAGCATTGCTATATTTTCACATTGTTATAGTTAAAATCTTGGAAGTTTTAAGAATTGTTAATGTAAGACGCTAATAAAACATATTCAAGTCTTGCAAAATCAAACAGACATTCTATTATTGTTTTTTTTAAAGACTTCAGTTTAAAGAGAAGAATTAAGGCACTTACAAATCCATTCATGCTTCACAAAAACTCAGACTGTTAAAGCTGCCACACAGCTCAGCATTCTGATAGTTATGTTATTTAACCATCACTTACAATTTCTGCTCTATGGCTATTGGCTACCCTTTCCCTTACTTTTATGAGGTATTTTTACCCAAAGTGGCATTCCTCTTACGTCAGTTCCTTTGAATGGATATTCCATATCATTAATTTCAACATGCAACCTTAACACCTTAATATTACCCTGCACCCATGTTCAGTGTTGCACCTCAGAAAGAGAACCGGGAAGAAAATATCAAAGGAAAGTACAGCTGCATGAGACTAACACATTTTCAAGCATGATATCTACGTATGCATTACACAGTGCACAACACAGATTGGTGGCAGCTTTAATTTCCAGTTCCCATGAGTTTCTGGAGCACATGAATGTACAATTAATGTTTTCTTAAACGCAAGGATTTTTCTTCAAATTTTAAAATGTTTCCTCGTATTTAGAAGAAGCATATTTTTCTTACCTTTCCACAGAAATGAAACAATACTCATGTGAAAGATAAAAAATAAACTCCTTCAGCATTAATAATCCATTGTGTAATGTAAGCTTTTTTTTCAACTCTCAGGTTAATTTTGAGGTGTTCTCTTTGTCTTTATTCATTATTGCACTTAGTACACTACAAGAAGTGGGACCTGCGATACTCACCGGGGGGGGGAGTATTCCCCACAGCTCCCAGCCTACAGAAGGAGAAGCAGCAGCAGGTGAGCCCAGCCTTCTCCCTCCCCCCCACAGTGAGGCCTGAGTGGTTCACAGCCACCAGCCTACCAAGCTTTCTCCCTCCCCCTCCCTCCCCAGTGGCAGCGAGGCCTGAATGGCTCACAGCCGCTGGCTTTATTCCCCCCCCCATGGCAGCGGCGGCGATACCAGCCCACTACGTTTTCTCCCTCCTGAGCAGCGGCAAGGCCTGAATGGCTCACAGCCACTGGCCCACCAAGCTTTCTCCCCCCCCCAGTGGCGGCGGCGAGGCAGTTCTCAGAGCATTCCCTGCGCATGCGGAGGGAACGCTCTTTTAGTTTTGGGGGGGATTTAAGTATCCCCCTATAGTTTTTTATAGACCTCTTTGCCCCCTAGGTGCCCCTGATGTGCAGATTTAGATATCCGCACGCAGGGGGCGCCTTGGCTATTAGATATATAGATAGTGTTAGGATGCCCTCACTCCACTGTACAACAAAGCCACTGTAGTCTGTTGGTTAGCATTTTGGACTAGGACCAGGGAAACCCAGATTCAAATTCACACTTACCCATGAAGATCACTCAGTGGCCTCGGAACAGACACTCTTCCTCAAAGCATAATGATAATGTGCTGGACTGGCCAAAAAGATACAGTAATCTGCCGTACCTCACAGTAACCTTTGATACCATCACCATGGGATCCTCATTCATTCAGCCAAGACAGAAATTGGGGTACCACATCCCAGTCTTATCAGGCTCATCTTTCATTGCTGAGGGACAGCTGTTTGAGCCTGTGGTACTTGTACTAGTGGCTTTCACAAGGCTCTATTTTGTCACCCATGTCTTTTAACCTATTAAGTTTCTAGGAGGTACTGTCTAGAGATTGAATGTGCCATGGCAACAGTACAGCAGATGATACCCAACTCCTCTCTTCCTTTCTGTCTGGATCAAAGAAAGTAGTGGATCTCCTGAACAAGTAGCTAGCTGTTTTAAATGATATAAAAGGTTATACTCTAGGAACACAATGGGCATGAAGACAGTGGTGTTTTACTTTGTGGTGTGTTGAAGCTCTCAATGAAGTATCCAATTTCCTATTGTGTTTGAATAGACATCTTGCAGCTCCCAAGAATATGCAGAAATATACATACAGGAAACAATCAGCCTGCCACCAATTAAGTAATACAGCTGATCTGCTGGGGGTAGAGGGCAGGCTTTTTTCTAAACAAAGGTTGGAGCTCCGTTTATCTACTGAGTATGCACTCCAGCCTGCTAAACTGCTTGATTTTTGTGCAGCAAACTTTTACATATCTTCACTTTTCACTGAAATCCCTCTCGGTCACAAATTAAATCCGATTTATCCCCTTGAACAAGCACTAGAGTCAACCATTTCCAATACATTGTACTACCTCAAGATGAAACTAATGACTCGGTACCATGGAATATTTGACTCGTAACCTGTAAGAACAGCAACACACTACAGGGGAATTAAAATATGGATCAAAAGTACTGCCATTTGAAAAACTTTTAGAATTCACTCTTATTCTGACATAAAGGTAAAGGTAAAGGTTCCCTTGCTCGAAAGCCAGTCGAATACGACTCTAGGGTTGCGGTGCTCATCTCCGTTACAAAGCCGAAGAGCCAGCGCTGTCCAAAGACGTTTCCGTGGTCATGTGGCCGGCATGACTAAACACCAAGGCGCACGGAACGCTGTTACCTTCCCACCGAAGTGGTCCCTATTTATCTACTTGCAATTTCTTGCTTTCGAACTGCTAGGTTGGCAGGAGCTGGAACTAGAGACGGGAGCTCACCCTGTCTTGCGGCACCCGGGTCTCGAACCACTGAACTACTGACCTTCCACAGCCTGCAGTTCAGCGTCTTAACCACTTGAGCCACCGCAGCTCTCTTATTCTGACATACCGTGGGGGAAATCCCTACTAGTTTTGACAACCAGATAGGGATGTCTGAAACTGCATATTTCTTCCTGGAACTGCAGGACCATTCACTTTCCTTTTTAAGAACACCACAAATATTGTAGTGGGATTGCTGTGCCAGGTTCAACATCTGAAGCAACTCAGGACGTGCAAATCGCCATACCGACAAAAAGAAACAAACAAAAACACTATCCAATTACATTAATAGTCTGAACCTACTGAATCCCTTGAAATCTCTCAGGGGTTATCCAATATGGTCACCACATCAAGCTTATTTCTGGCAACCAGAACACGAAGCTTTTAGTATTTCTATGACCAAACCAATTAAAGCCAGCATCAACAAAAGGAGGGAGAATGCTTCATACAGACAGTGCCTCATACAGTGCTAGGATGTTTGTCCTAAGATAAAGCTTCACTGTCATGGGCTGGGAGGGAGGCACTGGACTGGAAAAGAGGCCGTAAAATAAGTTTTAATTATGTTACAGGTGCTTTTGTCCCACACGCTCAAGTAAACATAGGCTGCGGTCACACGGAACAGAAGCCACACAAGTGAGATGGAAAACAGGCGGAGTTTCCGGGAGCGATCTCACCAGCACATCTGGGAAGTGTAGCACTCCCGTGGCACAACCGAGGCTTCCAGCTGAAACTGCGTGGCAAAAAACTAGTACCTCGGAGGTACTAGTTTCCGGAAACTGCGGGGCAAGGGCGGGCGTCTGATCGCGTTTCCGGTAGCATCCGGCGCCCGCCCATGTCCCCTTGTAAATAAGGTGTTTTTTTTGTCCACGTCTCTGTGGATGCGCACACGCACCCAATGGAGCATGCGTATTCGTCGTGTACACACACACAAAAACCAGTTTGCCGTGGCGCGCGCTTCTTCGTTGCGCGCCGGCTTGTCCTGTGATCAGCACCTCTCCCTTGCCATGGAACCTCCACGGTACCTCCACACGACCTCCACGGGAGGTCTGATCGAGTAACTGCGCAGTAGTTTGCCCCAGGGCAAACAGCCACGCTTCTCCCCCACAGTTTCCTGCCCGTGTGACCAGGGCCATAGTCTCACTTTTGTTGCCTCTACAAAGAGGGTGTAGTTATTTTCAGTCTGTGGGTTGAGAAGCGAGAAGGATGAGCCTTCCTGCCTTTAAAGGGAAAAGCTAGATGGCTACCAGGTTCAGCCTAAAAATTAATAAACTTTGGATACTTTGGATGACGTACACTTCACCACAACAACACACCTATGACAATGACCAACAATTCACTAGTGCTTAATAACAAGCATGTTATCTTCAAACTATTATGCTTGCCCCACTGACATCACTCGAACCTGCATTTTTGCCAAAGACTTTATCTAAATCCAATTGTATGATTTTCTTTCCAAAAATTTGGAAGAAAAAACTTGAGTTTTTCCTTCATTTCGCTGGGATTGAAATCCAGCAATACCCTTCTGTATTAAAAAAAAAATCTGTTCATAGAAAGGCTACGTCACCTGAGACTTGAGAAAAATTAGAAAAACCCAACATATTCTTCCACTTGCACAAGCAGCATCATGAGAATTACTACAGAGGTCGACACACAGTTTTCTTACTGGTGTGTGCTTGCAGAACAGCACTAACAGCCATTTTTCTTCCACTCATGGTTTCTTAGAGCTACCCCACTGCACTAAATCCTCCTGTCAAAATTATAGTAAAATAACCAGTTTTATCATATTAAAGAGAGACATGCAAGAGGCACTGCAATCACAAGCATCCTACAGATTTTCCCCCTATTGTTATAGCATGCATCTACAAGTTGTAACAGGCTACATTTATACTCACCTGAACTTTACTTCCAATAATCTGCATGCAGTGATCAATGGAGAGTAGTGAGAGTAAAAAAAAAAAAAAGCAAGAATTAGTAAGCTGAAGCATTTCCCACAACTAGCAAAGTGCTTAGTAGTTAGTAACGATTAAAGATCTTTAATACAAGACATATAACATGTTCATAAATACAATTATCTCAGTAAACTGTAGAAGCAGAGATTTGGAAGTACACTTTAATTGTCTACATCCATAATATTTTAATGTGAAAAGAGGAAGACTTACTAGGTGATGCTATACAAATACATCAACAAAACAAAAATCATTTATTGGGCAGGCACTTTAACAGCTGCAGCCAAAATTAGGTACTGTGTATTTTCAGAATTGGTTAGGGATTCCCTACTGCAGCAAAAGCCCAGTGACAGAAGTGTTTTCATTAAATTCAAGAAAAACGTGGTGTTAAATGGCTGCCCAAAAGTTCTGCCTTAAAATTTAGATAAGATGAAATAAATCTAAATGCTGAGTTAAATGTGCCTATGAAGGTAACATGTTCCAGTTCTAGTTCTCTCTCACCCTTATAATCCCACATCCTTTCAAACTGGGGATTTGTTTTTAGACCAATTACGAGACTGAAAGGCACATGGGGGGGGGGGTTTACCTTACTGCTCTCTTTTACATTGGCACCCAAAGACTCAGTGAGAGCAATTAAATAAATAAATAAGCATCTTAAATCCAGGGCACCATGCAGAAAAAAAGAACAACAATAGGAAATGAGTAGGGAACCAGAGCAGAACCAAAGATGGGTAGCTCAAACCTGTTCAGGGCGTGCCTGTAATGAAAGACTCTGTTGGTGCCAGAACACCTTTAGCAGCACGCTGGGTGAAAGAGCCTGGCCAGTTATCGTGTTCCTAGTCAGCATGTTGGGCACTGCTAATATGCATTTGAGGCAGCTATTGCAATCTTGAAGACTTTAGATAAAGGACTAGGCCTTAGATATCTAGCCTACTGCTGGATTTAAAATCTCCCATATGAAGCAGCCCTTTCGGCAAAACCAGGCAGGGAATTAACATACAAGTCAGTGTGTCCATGCTGATGCCTAATCCCAACAATTAATGCAATTTCTCTTTATAAGGGAGAGAAATCATGTAAACAGGACAACTGGCAAACTGGCACCAAAAAGAGCAACCCAGCTATTAGTACACTATTAGTACAAAGCTGTGGAAATAGAGCCAATACATGCAGACAATTCTGAAATATACAAAATGGAGCCATTACAATGTATAACAAGAAAAGGTAAAGATAACACTGGATTATTCGTGTACCGACAAATAATGCAGACTTTCAAAGTAAGAAAAAGGGAGAGGAAGAGACCATGATGCATGCAAATGAATAGTTTTAACTGAGTACCATAAAGGGGAAAACCACTCCATGTTATTTATTAATTTCTGGGACTTCCATGGGGTTTTCCTGCTACCATCAGAAACTTTGGAATTAGGCATCAAAATGAGCACTCTAGTTAGTACAATAATTCACATACAAAGCTGTGGCAACAGAGCCAATAGATGCTTATTTGCCTGCCAGTCATGGAGAATTTCATCCTCTTGTTTTTCTCAGGCTTACAGTAGCAATCAACAGCACTGGCAAACTTTGAAAACTTCAGCATTTGATGTTTCTTTGGGCTTGTAACAGCAACCTGCTTAACCCACAGCATGCTGCTTCTTGGGAAATTTCATTTTCCATCTTGGGAACACTGAAGTTTCACCCTGATCTTGGGAACACTGAAGTTTCACCCTGATCTTGGGAACACTGAAGTTTCACCCCCATCTCAACCAACCGGACACCTACTTACACCCTAGCATTAGTTTTGTTAGTTAGAAGACACACAAACATAGAGCCACAACTCAGTTTCTTGTTAATGCATGTCTGGTATACCAATGCTGTTGCTGTGTACAAGGCGCTACAGTTCAAGACACAGTTGTGATAGTCTCCACATGTTATCTGATACATTTCTGCTGTTGGTGCAGATTCTTTCCAGCTTTCTCTTTTGTTATCTAAGAATTACTGCAGACCAGGGAACTTTCCATGGTTAGTTCA